CTGAGTTTCAGCGTGTCCTTAACTTCCTGAAACAACTATTGACAAGGAGTCTTCGAATAGACCTGGAATGTCGGTGTGTTGCAAGCGGTGGTGAGGTGGAGAAAACCAGTGCTATTTGTTAACAGCCAAATACTGTTCCAGCTTATCCGAAATAGGTGTCCGATAAAAGCACCAGTGATTGAGCTAACAGCTGAGAAGGATGAACGGTTTATTTATTTTCAGCCTCGTCGTTTAACGGAACATTTTGAAGAACAGTTCAGCAGGCCTGCTGCGACATTGTTACTTACTGAATAGTCTTAGCCGACTGGAAGTTGCTGTTATCTTCAATGCTGGAAGAGGTTCAACATGAACTTGCTGTATTGAAACGAAGTAATTTTTCTGGGCCAGAGCACTCTCTTCCATCTTTGCTGAATTATGTAGGTGACTATTGACCGTGATTGCTTCTCTGTTTAACACGGTTTGTGACACGAAAGATGTGTCTTTAGACTGGCGACTGTCAACTGTCGTGCACATCTTCAAGGAGAGTCGGCGTACTTTGTGCGAAAACAATCTCTGTATTAGACTTCTTTGCATTGCCTCCCAACTTTTCGCAGGTTGCATTCTCGTGAGAGCCGCATCCTTGAAAGCCGCGTTGGCTTCCACCCCGGTCGCCGTTGCATCTACCACATATGATTTGAAAGCCGCTTTCGACTCTTGATTGTGGCATTGCTTATTTGTGAAGGGTGAGTCGCTTAAATACCTTTACTTTTTGAAATCTACGGAAGGTTATTTCCTGAATTCGCCAGGATTTTCTGTCCAACTTTGTGATGAAATGATTATGAATGACCCGATTCTTTCATACTCTTTCGGGGGTGGAAGTTCTATCAAGTAACCGGCTGAGAAACCTAGATTATGTGGACGACATAGCTCTCAATAGGTGCGCCGCAGTGGCTATGCGAGCACTACTGCGCTGACTGACGCGTATCGCTGCACGGTTCGGCATGTGACTTTCCCTCTTAAGATGCAAAGTGCTGTTGCAGGACCGGAGGGATACGCCACTAGTTTTAGCTATTGCCGATCAGTCACTGCAACTGGTTGATCGGTTTGCTTGCCTTGGTAGCTGTGTCACCTCTAGTGGTCACATCACGGAGGAGGTTAATTCGCGTATCAGCAAGTCCCATGTGACTTTCCAGATGCTCAGTCATTTATAAAGACGGAGGGTATTAGTCTGTCAGTGAAAGGGATGGTATATAGCACTTCGATCAAACCGGTGTTGTTGTACGGATCAGAGACCTGCCGTGTTTGGTCACCGCTGCTTGGGGAGTATTGCTCACATCTGGTGGGAACATCGAGTGACCAACGCTGAGATCCGCCAGTTGGTTTTTAGCAAGAAGCCATCTGCCGCCTCACTCGAGTGTTTGATGAATCTAAATTACTTACGTTGGCTAGGTCATGTCTTCCATGGGCCCGTTGAGCGATTTCTCACCATGGCTGCACCAACTTGGGACAAACTGCGAGGCTGCTAGTCCATAACGTGGCACCAAGGCTTGAAAAAATTGACTGAGAGGCTTGGTCAGACTGGTGGATGGGGACCTCAGGATAGTCCACGCCAATAGTTGGTAGCCTTATAAAACATGACGCATTTGCATAGTCAGTGGTGTTCCTGCATTCGGTTTCTGGCATCTAGCCATTACTTGTTATTCCAGCCTGCATTTTTGACTCACTTCCTTCTTCATTTCGTTTATTGCATATCGTTTGTATTCAACCTCGTTTTCTTGCCGTTTCTATGTATTGTTATTCTGATGATGTGAGTCGTGATAGCTGGATCCACCGCGCTTTGGTGCCCTGATCTTCCTTGCTCAACTGAACTAAACTAAACATTCCTACGGAGTGCCGTCAAGCTGTTAGAGACGAGTTCTGTAAGCGTCTTTCCTCCCTTATCCGAATGGCCAAAAGCACAGAAATCATAATCGTTGCTAGTAGTATGACTGTTCATCTCAATCGGTTATCAGAGTCAGAATCTCATATCGGATACCGTCTCTTGGTCGATGTATGCCGTACTAGCAATTGTGGTTTTGAACTCTATGTTCATGTAGGTAAACGATTCTACTGGCAACTAATGAATATATCGTTTATTCTTGGAGTTCCGATCTGAAACTATCGATGCTTGACCAATCGCAGTATGCCGATTTATTCTGGCTACATAATCACATATTTCTGCTTTCTCTTTTCCGTTAATAGTCCTCTTTTGTTTAACATCGAAAATGTACAACGTTCTACACCTATCGCTCTTTGTTCCGCTGTTGCACTCGTAACGTGTTCGTATCCGTTGCATCTTGGACGACACATGAATTTTCTCCTGTCGCGTTCTTTCTAGCCGTATCTTTTATTTATTAGTTCATTGGATTGTTGGTTTAATTGCCATTAACTTTAACTTTACAATTTACTCTGCCCCCGTCCTTACTTCTGCTACCCCAACTATGCGTTAGTCTAATAAACCGACTCGCTTTCTGACTCCGTGATCACTTTCTTGAGCTATGCACCAGTCGTAACTCCAATGTCAGTTGCACAATTTTTCAACACAAGTCCTCTCTCGAGTCGCCTAACAGCCTCCGAACGACAGGCTATCCTGGACTCAACAATCACTTAATCAGTAAATATAGTTGACGCACGTCAGTACGTTATAGATCGGTCTGAATCACTTGCGTACCCGCCTAAAGCTCACCTTTCTAGTCCCGGCGAACTGATGAGCCTCGGGGGTGCTTACGCATCAACTGTATTCGCAATCTACCGAGCCGAAATATCCGTGGGAATCGCAGCATTATCTGTGGATGAGGTGGATGAACCGAATCTGGACTGCAATCACCTCCAATCACTTCCAGTTTGAGGTTTGAATAATGCATGAATATTTGACGCTTTGATTAACCTAATTGGAGCAAAGGTAATGATTATGTCTAGCTGTCCGTTTCAAGACGTCCACAGCACTTCGAAATGGCCTCTGACCAAAAGTCTCAGGATTGACTGAGGGCATTGGTACATGGCGACGGTCAGCGCCATTGGGAATATCCGAGTACTGTTCAAACTTACTAGACCCACAGGTGCGGTACAAGTTTCCGTTAATGACACAGTAGCTAAAAGAACGAGCAACTGATCCAATACAGTTTATCTCGACAAGAACCATGGGCTGGGCGCTTTACAGAATAGTTTAAACACCACGGTAAATCACGAGTAGCACCTGAGTCACATGGACTAACATCCGATGCCGACATTAGAAAACAAACTGGATTGGATCCAACACAAGTTGGGGCTACTGAAGTGGAACAAGGTGTCTGGCCAAGACGACCTTCCACCGACTATCGACCCCTAACCTGAATTGAAGTCGTTGGCCGCTGATACCGTTGGTCCCTCTCGCATACTTTCTGGAATCCATGTGACCTACTTTGTAATTGTATCCAAGCTTCAGAACCATTCTGCGGTGTTTTAGTTTCTTTATCTATGTTGGAATGCTTGTTTGAAATGTGCCTGACGCTGGACTGTTTGTGGTGTAAGGCTGATTATGACGCGGTTCCTTAGGAGTCACATGTGGTAGTCTCACCGATTCCGCTGTATATTTGCACGATTGTGGGCCTTTGGTAACCGTTCGTTTTATGCGAGTTGTAGGCTCCGTAGCTGTGAGCGCATTTTAATTCCCTTACACATATGAGCAAGCAAACAAGTGTGTATTCCCAAAGTTCACCAGGCCCGCGCGCGTAGCCTCGCTCTCACTCCTCTGATTTATATTTGGTTATATGTTTGTATTCCTTTAGATATCGTTGTATGCGAACGGGCATCGGTGACAAGTTCTGATAATGACCCAGAACCAATCGACCGTGCTTTAGATCCATATTAAATTCTGTCTAAACGGTGGTGTTGTGCGCTTTACTTCTATATAGTGAGCAGACACGTCACCGCTCGTGTATCCGATGCATTCTCTGAATTGCCACGCCGCCCTTGTCTACGAGCAGCGCAGCTACTCTTGCGATTATTCAACAACCAGGAGTGATACAATGGCTCATTGGTGAATTCACGTTACTGTTTGCTAATTTTCGGAATACGCGATATATCAGCTTTGTCTCACACATAGAACTCTCGGTTCGAAGGTGTAATTATTATTCTTAGAAGTTCTTTGAATTTCGTCGATCTGTTCCGCAACACTCGATGAACCCGATTTCGTGGGGCCATGTGTGCGTACCATGCTTCAGCCAGTCCATCACATGATCGATTACCACTAGGAGAGTAAGTCAGAGTTGGTTCACTGAGATCAAGTCGATCACGAAGATGTTGACCACCAGTGAGAAGTTTCTTGATCACTTTTCCTGTATTGACGTTGATGTAGTCCGAACATCAGATATTTCCAACAAATACTACAACGCCGCTGACACAGTTTCCGTGTATCAGGTACTCCTTTTACATCGCCTTTGTAAGCCCTGGGACAGTTTCGTCTTCATCATTAATGAAAATATATTGAAATTTATTTGGCCCGCGATTTCACACTTCACCTCAGCAGACAGCGCAGGTCATTATATGTGGTATCACATTGGGCCCCACTTTGAACACCTTACGTTAGAAACTACCGCGTCTAAAATCTTAACGCTTTTTGTTTATTGGGTAACAACCATTCCTTACACTTTTTAGTCAAATTTGTTTCCCACCATATGCCACGGCGCATCTCACTACGCACCTTCGCTTTCGTGTCGGCCGGTGGCCGAGTGGTCTACACCCCTGACTTGCAAGCATGAGGTCACCAGTTCGAATTCGCGTCCGCGCGGTATACTCAGTTCACGCGCGACTGGTGCTAGTCGCGCGGCAACGAAGCGCCGTTATGGGGTACATCTGATGATTATCCTTTTATCTTTGCTCTAGTTGCCCCCAATACTTGCTCATTGTTCATGACGTATCTATACATCTGATCTCAAATCAAAGATTCGCTGGTTGTTTCTACTCGCCCTGATGCCCACCCATTTCACCCTATTTTGTTACAGCCGTATCGCAATTAAAGCATTAAATGAACGACTTTTCAGTACGCAGCTACAATCGACAGAGCCTGTCGCTTGGCCGAATCTAGAAGAAAATGAGGTCACTGCCATCACGCCATCGTCCCAATCTGAGAGCCAAGTCGCCGTCCAGTCTGTTGTAGTTACTTTGCCTACTGTGTCCTCGTCCGAAACTGTGTGATCCAGACTAAGCTGGGCGGTCTGCACTTTTGCTTAACCATTTTCTCGACTCACTTTTCCCTCAATCCAACTTCTTTTCATCCTTTTCCTCACTCGTATCCACACCCAGCAGCCCGGCTATGATGATACATTTTCCAACTACAGTGTTCTACCTTCTATCCTTCATCTCCACGTTTCACCCGTCACGGTCTTGTTTCACAGTTTGGTTTGTTTTATCCTCTATCTGACCGTTCTTTTATTTAGTACTCTATCTGTATCTTCAGCCCCACTGTACCACGATAGGTCTTCTCTTCTGCTACCTATTTTTTTGTTTTCCTCCTCCTTACTTTGTGGACGCCATTTCGTGCATAATCATCTAAGTTGAGTTGCCTCACTGGGTTGTGTTCAGTGGCTGTTCTATTATGCTTGATGGAATGCTTTAGGCGCTAAAACATTCCGTCGCATAGTTCTTGCTGACTTTCATCTTATCGTTAATAAGCTTTCGAGTTTGAGTTACAGACTTTTGCATATCCATTCTGTCTTCCTCCTGTTATCCGGATGCACATGCACACCAATTGAATCGTGTGGCTCTGAAGCTTACGGATAGTGATATCTCATGTTTCTCTAGCCTACTTCTTATATTCATTGCAATTCGTGCATACTTCTCATCAAGCTACGGGCTGCTGCTCTCGGTGATAAAACTCCTATCCGCCCTATTCGAGAGATATGGTTGGTGGCTAACTCATCCATTAAGCGTCGATCATTTCACTTGAACCATGTTACTTTGTTCGATTGGGCATTCATTTTCATTGTGCCTGTAACACTGAGGCGACATGTGACTAAGTCTTTGACTCCTAGCCCTGATACATGGCGAGTGCTCGTGAGACGAATAAAGCCAGGGCGATTGGGGACAGCAGGATGCTCTTCCAACTCATATGTAGCACGAGCTCCTGGTTGTTGACACAATAACTGAGAAAGTCGGAGTGTTGATCCGTTCTCACCCGCGTCGACTAGTTTGATGGGTCATTTTGTAGAGTATTTCAGCAGGCGGCTTACCGAATCATCTGTGCTCTCGTGGTAAATTAGTTTCAAACCTTCCACTCTGGAATACACTTGACGTGAACTTGCTGTGTTGAAACCACATAGTGATCCTTTACCAAACAACTTTCCCCTATTTTTGATGAAAGATGGCTGTCTCGTTGGTGGCTAGTCAATTCACCTTATTCTAAACCTTTTAGACACTAAAGTGATACTTTAAGACTGGCGATTGTCAATCGCTGTCCTCGTCACAGGGCTTTGTTCGGAAGTCATCGAGCAATTATTCTTATTTCTCTGGCTCCAAGCTTCTCGCAACTATTATCCTTCATGAGAACCGAACTGGTGAAAACCAAGCTCGTTTCCATTCTGACGGAAGCTGCACTGATTACATGTTTATGATATAGCGCCGCTCAGTATCCACTGACTTGCACGTTACTACCATGCAAAGGACGGGGTAGCCTCTTCACCAAACGACGAACTTCCCATACTTAAGCCGTCAGTTAACCTACAGCGAACGATTCCAAGAAGGATGAAACGGCCGTACAGTGCTTTTCCGGGCCTGTAATGGCAGTCTGACTGAGTCTAGATGCAATGAATTTCTACCTATACTATACAAATTCCTCCACTACTCCTTCTTAATGCTTACATATTTATTACTTGCCAAGTATCGGGGCTACGTCACACATACAGACAATCCATTATCACAAGTTTCTTAAACTTGGAAACCTATCCCGATTGATGATAGTGCTATCTGGCGGCACTTCCGATTTCTGGGAGACTTCTTCGTATTTCGAATCATCTATCGCTACTCACTATCCGAGTGCGAGCTTACTTGGAGTTGTCTCCTAAGTTCCCGACGTCAAATGAGGCGCGCCTTGTTTATTACCTAAGTGACTTCTCTCTTCCTATTCTTCTTCTGAAGTATACGTTTTATCCAATGATATATCTGACGTATGCGGATGTCATAGCTGTGCTTGTGCCGAAAGCTGCGGCTATGCAAGCGTCACTGTGCAGGCTGATTACACATCGGCCTGTGCAGTCAGCTGCGCGCTCCGGTTTTACCCTCAGGGTGGTCCTGCTACAGGAATGGGCCGATACGCCACCTATTGTAACCACCACTGCACATCTATGGTCGATCCGTTAACTTTCTTAGTTAGGTGTGTTACTTCTGCTTGTCACATTACTGAGGAGGTCAAAATTGCCCACGTGCCAAATAGCACCCTGAATGTCCCTATTTCGAGTCGCCGTCCCATTATCTCTACCTGACGAGTGCAAACAAGTAAGCAAGAGATTGGGCATCTTTGATCACCAGTGCTTGTAGAGTGTTGATGAAATATGTTGAGAACACTGGGTGAACTATAATGAGGTTTAACTGCTTCGGCTACCGTCCCAGTGCTCGCATTGACCGCGATTCACATTGAAGTGAATCTCTGTCTGCATTGAGATTGCGCGTCGCAATCCATTCACACAACGAGTACTTCACAATGACCCTCCAATATGCCTACCAGTTGTTTGCAGAGAGATCTGATGCCGCACTGGAGGGTTTACTGACCATGGCCCGTTTACGTTTTCTAGGTCATATTTTCTGGATACCCATCGACCGCCTTTATCGTTGTGCCTTATATGCCGTGCTTGTAACTTGTGTGCCGAAATCACTAGGTGGCCCGTCCATGACGTGGCATAAAGGCACAAAGAAAGTGATAGAGGTACTTGGTTAATCTGCGACGTGCCCACTTCGTGGATGAGTGCCTCGGGATGTTCCACACCAGTGGTTGCGAACTTCATCTAATATGCACCACTCGTGCTCATAGTATCCCATTCCGGTTGATTTTAATCCCACTCCTTACATCCTTCTCTTTTTTATCCCAGTTACTTTTCACACGTTTTCCTTTTAATTCTTAATCACTATCACAGTAACGCGAACTGTGGGCTAACCGCATTTCGATGCTCGAACCATGATTGTTTACACGGGCTCAACTTTTATCAACTGACGCGTTTGGCAGCTATGTGCTTCAAATTGAATGCTTCTTAGTACTATCTCCATCAGGCAGCCACCTAATTTGAACTATCATATACATGTCTCAGTAACTTCCTATTCTATCAGCTTCTGGATGTTATTTTACTTGGTTCGTTTGCTGAGACAGAACCTGGTTACTTGGATTTATTTAGAAAATAACCCGAAAGTTGTACTCGGTTCGCCGCTCCATTCTTCTGTCGCCTATTCTCATGTGCTCTTTGGGTTCAGACTGACTGTTAGGGTTTCTCTTTTCTCTAATTACCGTAGAAACGATCGACACATTAGTTTTTCCCTTTCGCACACCCCATCAGGACTGATGTGATGAGACAGGAAATTTCAGGACCACAAGAATGTACATTTGTGTGGGATCAAGGAATCATGGTCGGATTTCTGAGACGTTATATTGAGTATTCACGGCATGCCGTATCTGTACTGGTTGGCTTTACTGGGGTTCAGTTTGTTCCACGGTACGTCGGAGAACTGACAGGACTGTGTCCATTCTCTGTCTTTGTTTCTCGTTTCCTCTGGCACTTCACATTACTGTGACGCTCTTCTGGACCAGCGATCAAACCACCGTTGTTAACTTGATGCAACATGGTGTTGGATTCAGATGCGCGGAGTGGTGGATACACAGCCGAGTCGTTGGTGCCGTTAGACCAACTGTGGCCTGAGTTGAGTGCAGCTGCGTACACAAAAACAGATAATTCAAAAGTCAGGAAGTGTGTAAGTTTCATGCTGTCGCTTGAAAATATCTCAGACTGCGCAGTAGGCGCTCGCCTTGTTAGCTGCCTCGATGCGTTCCAACTACTGGTATCATTAGAATTGTCACAAATATGCAGTGAATATTCTGTATGATAACGGACTGTAGATTATTTGGAACTGAGGGACACTGTAAGCTTTGCCATTATCCTGCGAATCGCAATCTGGATCGGCGACTTTGCATAATCATATAAGCCAGTTTTTTAATGGGCAATACAACGATTGCGGACTAAATAGTTATAGGTATCCTTGAAAGACCATTTCACAGGTTGTGTTCGTTGGAGGTTGCAACAATGAGGTATCTAGCTAGACTTCAGATGGTGTCAACCAGCAACTTTGCCATTGACATTTACCAAGATGAACTCTTCTTTTGTATGCAGTGACAAACCCTTGGGATAGCTATCACCCGATAGTTATGTTCGCGCTTCAAGCACATCCAATCTGCTTTTCTTTGCTTCATTTACAGTATGTTTTGGGATTTGCTTTTGCTCACCTTTCCGTTCCTAAAGTCAGGAATACACTACACGTTACAAACAATTCACTTGAAAATTCATTAATTTGTGCGACTTTGTTGAGCGCACTCCAATACCATGAGTACAGCTGGCAAATCATTCGTTTTCAGTTTCCGAGATTTAGTACTCGTGAGTAGGTATTTACACCCCCAACGAACATATTTTGCGGCAACAGAGCCGCTAAGACGAATCTGCACTGGGCAAACTGACATGGCAGCTACTGATTCCTAGTTATTTTTGTACCCAATCCTGGGCTAGACCGTCTGGTGGATCTCCCTGGAAGGAAGTAATATAAAACAATTTCCTTTATCTGCCCGAGTACACTGTTGGCGTCTTGCGCTACCACCTTCATACGGTCGTGGTCAGCAGTTTCCTCTGCAACATATCGACAGATGCACCTTCCGTTATTTTCACTGCTAATAGTTCACTGTAGTAAGTGTACACACGAGCAATAATTCTTCCTATCCAACTCTGCGGTGCCCACTGTTTCACGACTCGATAGTACTTGACGCTATCGAAATGCTTCATTCACGTTGCATGCACTACTCCTGTTCTGAGTCTGCCACTTGCTGGTGAAGATCTGTTGCTTCCATTCTAGTCGGTGTGTGGGTCCGACGCGAAACGGCTATATCAAAACCGAAACGTTGCCTACAAACCATACCACCTGACTACTTTCAAACCCTTCTGGAATCATGAGTGGTGCGATGGTTTGTGTCCTCAGCGATCCATTGAGCTATGCTGGGTGGTGCTTTTGCACCTTCAGAGTCACTCATACCAGATTGGTCAATGGTTAGAGGCCAGACAAACTCAGCCTCCTGGTCCTCCAGGTTGGGGGTTGGAATGAAGGTGGCTCCTTATTCCTTATAACGGACTACTTGTAGCCCAAAGCCAAACCCGCTGCCTTGCGGACAGGTTTTTGAACCAAAGGCTTTGGTTGAGAACCCTAATTGTTCTCTTGTCTATGTCTGGGCAACCTGACAGTATCCTGCCCACGCAATACCATGAATCTTACCTCAAACAAATTGCTGATGCTCTGGCCACCGCAGAGAATAATCAACGGTTCCCTATCTGTTGCATCGAGCAGGGTGGATAGGGGTTTGGATGCTACTGCTCAAGCCTTCCCGTCTTCCTATTCACCCTCTTACGCTTTTTCACTCTTACCGTCCCGTTCCCACTTCACTTTTATCCCCTCCTGTTTTCAACCCCCTGATTATTGGCCCTCCCCCAACATGCTTTGCTAGGCATTTATCTTCTAATTTCAACTCACATGTGAACGCGGAGCGTCACTCCTCTCCTGTCGCCAAGCCCATGTCCAACCAAGCGGTCCATTCCAGTTCATCGGCTTCCATTTGGAGCCCTCGATCCTCCTTCAGATTGGCATGTCTCAATGTACGCACACTGCTACAAATCGGTCAACAGGCAGCACTTGCCCGGACATAGAAGACCCTCTCGATCGATATCTGCTGCTTATCAGAGACTCGCCTGCAAGACTCGAGCACTGTGCTCACTCTGCGATCTCCTTCAGGTGACGCAAGCAGTATTTTCTCATTGCGCCTATCAGGTGACGATGCAGCTTCGAGCACCGGCCAAGCTGGTGTTGGTATTGCCCTGAGTCCCCGGGCTGAAGCTGCTCTGGTTGATTGGATTCCAATCAGTAGCCGAATGTGTGCGGTCCGATTGGCTGGCTCGTTTAAAGCTTCGAAGTCGCGTGGGACTAATGGATGTCTATTCATCATCGCTGCCTGTGCGCCCACAAACTGTAGTGATGACTCGGTAAGAGACGACTTCTAGCACTTGTGTGGACACCGATCATGCACTTGTATGTGCTGACATGCGGATGCGTTTTGGCGGACGCCCATGACGACGATGTGAGCGCACTGACACCAGCCAGCTGTTCTGAATGCGTATCGAAGTACGCTGACATGCGAGTTGAGTAATCGCTCACTGGTCATATGTTCGCCAGACCTTACTAGCAGCGGGCAAATCCTCATGCGGTATGTCTAATAGCCAACACGGACATTGGGTCTCTTCTCGGTCTCTGGAATTTACCGACGCTCGCCGGTATATCCTGGCTGGAAGCGAGCACAATGAAACTCGCAAAGAGCTCCGGGCAAAACTCCGTGCTAGCCTGAAGAGAGACCGCGAATCTTGGTGGTCTCATCGTGCATCGGAGATGGAAATGGCCGCTGCCCTTGGCAACCATCGTAAGTTATTCCGTCTGATACGGGAAACGGGCAGCAGGAGACCTCATGTTAGTGAAACAATTTGTGATGAGAGTGGACAGCCTATCCACAATTTGTCAAAACGCTTGGAGCGTTGGGCTGAGCATTTTGAAAAGCATTTTAATCGGCTAGAATTGTTCGACTCGCCGGTCACTGATCGCCCTGCTCCGTCGGCTGTCCCTTTGGATCCACCCTCTCGCTCAGAAGTCGAACGTGAGATCGGACTGTTGAAGTTGAACAAAGCCGCGGGACCAGATGATCTTCCTCCAGCCCTCTTCAAATTCGGAGGCTCTGCTCTTGTTGATGCTTTACATGAATTACTAGTGAAACTGTGGGAGCAGGAGACTGTCCCAACCGACTGGAGCCGCTCCGTTATTGTTCCCATCTTCAAAGGCGGCTCGCGCTCGGAATGCGGCAACCATAGAGGAATCAGTCTGATCTCCATCGCCTCCAAATTACTTGCCTCCATAATTCTTCACAGACTGACTGGCGCTCCTGAAAGCCAGATTCGTGAGGAGCAAGTCGGGTTTCGTCGTGGTCGTGGCTGCATTGACCACATCTTCACCTTGCGTCAGTTGTTGGAGCACCGTCACACATATTGGCGGCCCACCGTAGTCATGTTTCTCGACATCAAAGGTGCCTTCGATTCGGTTGATCGATGTGCCCTTTGGAATTGTCTACTCAAGAATAGTTTGCCCGAGAAATATGTTAATATTATCCGAAAATTATATGCGCGTAGCACGGGCAGAGTAAGGGCTTACGGCAAACTGCCGCCACCCTTCAATATCTCCAGCGGTGTGAGACAAGGATGCTCGCTGTCACCTTTGCTTTTCAACTTCGCTATTGAAGAAGCCATGGAGATTGCATTTACAGGACATGACTTGGAAGGTGTGGAGCTACTCCCAGGAGAACGACTTTTTGACTTGGAGTATGCAGAAGATATTGCCCTCATCTGTGACAGCTCCCAGACGTGCCAAGCCGCGCTGGACAGATTAGCACTGGCTGTCAGCCGCTTCGGGCTTTGCTTTGCACCATCGAAGTGCAAAGCGTTCCTCCAAGATTGGCAGGGATCGCCTCTTGCGCTGACCCTTGGTGGGGATCAGCTAGAAGTCGTTCAGAAATTCAATTACCTGGGAAGTTGTATCAGCGCCCTTGGGATCGAAGACGAGATCACGAACCGTATAGCGAAAGCTCGAAGTGCTTTTGCTAACCTTTGCCACCTATGGCGTCGGCGCGACATCACTCTCGCCCTGAAAGGTAGAGTGTACAATGCAGCGGTACGTTCGACCTTACTGTACGGCTGCAAAACCTGGCCCCTAAGATCGGCGGACTTGAGGAGGCTAGTTACGTTCGACCATCGGTGCCTTCGCAGTTTGGCTCACATCTGATGGAAACACCGCGTGAGTAACGAGCGTGTTCGACGCCTTGTTTATGGCACAGAAAAAGGAACTGAACCGCTCAGCACCGTTATTTCCCGCACCAGGCTCCGATGGCTGGGCCACGTGTTGCGCATGCCAGCCCACCGACTCCCTCGACGTGCGTTGTTTGCTCACCGGTGATGTGGGTGGAAGAAGAGGAGAGGTGGCCAACCGATGACTTGGTCCAGGGGAATGATGTCCCTTACTTCGGAGCTAGCCTCGGTTGGAGCGTCACGGCTCCCTGGTTGGGGTCCAAAAGACGGTGAACACGTTTGGCTAGATACACTTGCTGACATGGCGAGGAGCCGACCTCAGTGGCGTTTGTGCTGTGAGTTTTTTTGCCCTTCCCCATCCCTTTTTGCCTCCCCCTCCATCTACGATCTCATTTCGTAGGGTAAAACATAATTTTTTTTTCTTTTTGCCTAGTAGCTAGCTGGTAGCTTACCGGAACCATGCCTATCCGTTGCTGGTAGCTCAGCTGGCATGCAACTGTTGTGTCTATTGTTCCTTTGTGTATTGTATTATATGTATGTATTTATGTATTTCCTTTATGTATTGCGGCACAATAGCGAAGGTGTTTTCCCACCTCTAGCTGACGTGTATAATGATGACGATGATGGAATCATGAGTTCTCTATTTGTTCCGATCATTTCTCAAAACGTTGACTTGTACAATACTTTGCCGCTTACAACTACAGTGGCATGCAGTGCTCCAAGTAACTGGGCCGATTTCCTTCGCTACGGTCTAATGCCAACGCACGGCGAAAAGTCTGCGACTGGGCGAACATGCTCCAAGATTCATGGTCCCATCTCCAAGATCTATGCCGGGTGTCTAGGGAGCATGCCGCGATCTTACTAGCGAACTCAGATACAATGACCTGTCATCCACCGTCTGGCGCAATGCAAAATCTGATCTGATTTGGTATGGACGGCCACTGTTTGGGCACTGACTTCGAGGCATTCCTTGTGCTCACCACCACTTTCTGGCTGATACCATTTTTGAATACCCCAGAGCCCCACTGTGTGGTTCCATCGACAGTTTGAAATATGCTGCACTGTGTTTTGGCATTACTTGTAAAATGTTAGAGGGTCCGCTGACAGTATTTCAGGGTGCTTGGCTCCAATCATTTCAGTATGCCCGCCATATTACTTTCCCACTTCAGACGGTATTCGAAGAAAGTCCCACACTACATGGTTATCCATGCCGTGCACCAAAGTGTATACCATAACTAGAAATGCTTAAATAGAGAGTTAAATCTAGCCAGCGTTGACGTTCCGTGAAACGTAATGGTTCCACCCGTCAGTCTGTCCTATGAGGTTTTGGCCTTTACCACCTTAGCTCGCAACTTGGATGCAAGTATGGAATGCTCACTTTATCACGTTGCCCAAATTTCGCTGCTTTTTGGGCCCGCTGGTATACCGTCGCCATTCTGTTTATGACGCATCTTGATAGGGAATGTGCTGAAGTTTGCATCATCCTGTGCGTATGCATTGATTCTACATCACTACAACTGCATTGTTTTCCCATCGATTGAACGGTGGCCGCTGGCTACTTTCTCCGGACCCTTCCTGGAATACACTGTTTGACAACGAGTTAAACGGCTGATCATTTGAGCTGACTGTATGCAAGTCTGCGGGTCAACCTAAACGTGCTCAGTTTGCCGTTGCTACTGTTCTCCAAAGCTATTCACGCAGGTTTCCATATATTCATTGGCTCCCTCATATCGTTCCACTCAGGAGAGGTGGATGTGACATCATAGAGCCTAAACACTTTTCTTTTGTACTTAACACAATGGTGTTTACTAAGCCAATGTATGCATCGGTAGACACATACTCTTTAGAAGAGTCGGCGCGGGGTGAACAGACAATGTGACACACCAGATTCGTTGTACTGATGGTGCTACCAAGTCTGCTAACACGACATTTGCAATGGAAGCACTAACTGGGAAATTATTTCAACCTTGTCATTCACATCTTGGGTATTCTCAATAATAACATCCACTCTTGCTACCTGGGTACCTCTGCTTCTTTGTAGCTTTGCCTCCTTTCGATCGATAGGTGCTCCACTTTTCACCGCTAGAAAAAATGATAACTAAACACAACCGTACTTTCTACTGACGCTTCGCTGTTGCACAGGCTGCATGCTGGCCGAGATATTACGTACCCTCGGGCATTGATGTAGGTTCAGACCGGTGAATCAAGGGTGTACAAAATCAACACCTGAACTACCCCACCGTTTCTGAGTGTACCATTTGTTTATCTCTCTGTATTTGTTTTGTTCGTTTATCTTGTATTTCTACACTGCTTCCCCTAGATGTAAAGCACACTCACCTGCATCAATCAACAGTTGACTGACTCTGCGACTGGTGAAGTAGTTCGACGTCGATTCTGTTCTGGTAGCGAGCTTTGCATAGTAACGTGCCTCTTCTTCCTTTTCTGTTTCGAAATCCCGGGAAAATGAAGAGTGTTTGGCTGTGCTAGATAGAACTCTGCTTTCTTTGGTGTTGGGGGCTGATGGGGTCTGTCGAGAATGGTTAGAAGCATCCATGATGGTTGCGGGGAGTTGTGTCCGCTCGACGGACATCTGAGGAAGGACCCATTCGTTTTTTTCTTCATCGAACCTGGAAATAGTCATACGGTTCTAGTGACCAAGTAAACTGAGCTAAAAATAGAGATTAATTATTTTACTTCAAACATACGAAGGTTACACCAAAGCTCCCAATGGCTGTGCCAAGGGTTACTCACTGATATCATTTGCCTTGTGATCAAGACGTCAACCACTAAACCCCGGGTTCCACTCCCCAACTCATGCTATCTAATTAATTACTCCAATGGAGGAGGAAACCGGTCGCGGGTGCTGCGTTGGTTGTGAGCAACGCTGAAACTCCTCCACTTCGGATGCGGTCCCAGTGATCGGAATGACCGAAGTCTGTTCCAAACTAAACCTAAATCGCAACAAAAATTACGTGCCACAATTCAACCACACAGCGAATATTCCCAAGCTCAACTTTGAAATAGTGATCATAGTCTGAATTATATTCTCGCGGAGTCAGGTTTGGCAAACTTTTGCATGCCTGCCCGCCTCTTTCTAATGCTCAAACGTAACCAGCTCTTACCACCATCACGTTTTGGAAAGCTGCGGTCTCTAAAGTGAAGTAGGCTCTTGATTTTTCACTGATATGCGTCAACGACTCACGTTCAGCTTTTTTGCCAACTGAATGTAAATTAGCCCCCTTTCTCAAACCGAATCATTTGCAAACGGCTGTGCTGTGTTCCGTCCACTTGAGCTTTAGGAGCGTCATCTCTGGCATATGGATATTTGCAGTGGAGCAATGGTTTATGATGGGTATAAAAGCGCATGCTTGACATGTCCCGTAGGATAGTTAGGGTGATAATTACAAAATAAACAGTGCCAGTAAAAAAATTCGTGCAATTCAGGGCCCACCAAGGGGTTTGGAGTAACTCATGTGCGAGTATTTCTGCCTGGTGCTTAGGAGGGTTAGGACACCGTCCGCTGTTTGTTGTGCGTTAATGTATGTGATGAACATGGGCTACATCACGTAGTGTAAATGTATCAGAGTATCGTCAGGGCGTTTTTTGAAAAGGGATAAGGTGAGGGGACAGTTTCGTAAGGCATCTACAGAGCATTAATACTCAGGTCGTCGATTTGGACATAACCACCACAGTGCCCTGCGACCTGATTGCTTTCCGTGATGACAAAAGATCAGCTGCAATAGATACGCCGCTAGCAAACGTTCCACTAGCTGGGGGCCTAAATTAGGTATCCAAAACTCCATCCCCTCAGAACGTGGATTCTACTGATCTTACCCTCCAAAAATCCGAGTCCGCTGGTCCTCAGAACCACTATTTCACACAAACTTAACCACTCCTCCAGTTTCAGTGGCTTGGCCAGCTCAATCACTATCACCACATAAAATTACCAACTACCCCTTACGGCCTAAGAAACCATTAGCTTTCAGTGTCATTGCTTTTAATATACCTGACTCAACTGATCTACTTCAAATCGTCACAATTTTCGGTAAAGTAGCTTATGTGAAATCTCACATGCTAAACGTCATTAGGGTGCCTATAAGAATACAAGCCTACCCAGCACCAGTCAGATTTAGTTCTGTCGACCAGCCCACATTGGAAACGCTTAGTAGCGAGCTAAACGTCATTCGGAAAGTCTCTCACTTATCAAATGTTTACTTCAGTAGGTTACTTGCTCAATCGTATTTTTCCCTCCATCCGAAAACGTCCGAAGCCTCCAGTCTGGGTAAAACCAAGTATGTCCACTGGCTGTTTCCGAAATATAAATCCTACTTATATCGCTGATAGACTAAATGAACTGTCTTTTTTTGGAGACCCGGGGAGGAAACCTAGTGTCATGCCTCCCCATCAAACTTACAGCCTTTTCTGAACTTTCTCAGAATGATCCAAACATAAATTTGGAAATTAGTCGTAAACTATCAACAAATTCCATACCTGCTCAAAATTACCCCAACCCTTCGTCCTTAACTTTTAATGACATCGGAAGATATCTACTCAAACTTATTCAACCAGTTAGCATGTCTACCTTTCCAGACACTATCTTCTTTTCAATGCTCGCTCACTTCGAAATATGACGACCACTCTTCGCTACTTGGTGTCTCTCTTTAAACCTGACTTTATCTTAGTGACAGAGACATGCTTTACAAGCGAAATGCCACAATCCTGCTTCCAACTTGACCATTCTCGCAATTTTCTTGCTTGTCGAACCTCGGCACTTGGAGGTAGTCGCATCATATATGTCTCTGGTAACTTTCAAGCATCGCTGTTATGCGCTTTCCTTCAAGATAGTAATATTAACAGCATAATTGTACATGTTGCTCTAGGTAGAACCTTGATGATTTGGGGTTGCATGTTCTCCCCGCCGAATCCCAGTATAGATGACTTACAAATCCTGGAACACTTGCTTTGCTACTTAACAGAACTACCCGTTAACTGTAAAGTAGTAGTAGGAGATTTCAATATACCTGATATTGACCTGCTAACTATTTGACACTGTTGTCTTCTATACACATCTATGGATGGGCACAACATATCCACTCACCCACCAGAGGAAACCACATCATCGATTTATTCCTTACACTAGACATATCCATGTCTCTGCTGTTGTTCTAGACAAATTACCTGGCAGCGATCACATAACGGTCCAACTCTCCTACGAGAAGCAATTTTCTGATCCCACCCGGATTAAACCTGCAGCCCTCTATGCAATCCCATACACCTGGAATCGTTTCCCGCCCTTCTGAGATCTTTGCAATGGGGAAATTTCTTCCTAACGAATGATCCGCAAGTGGCTGCCGATGAGTTCTACAAGAATATAATGATTTGTCTAGACGCTCTAATACCAACGAAGTATCGGCGTCTACCCAGTAAAACGAAATCAGTCGCCACCCCCGAAAATGTTGCACGCAAACTCACAGGGCTACGAAATTGCTATTTGAAAACAAACTTCTCCCTAGTATTGCAACAAAAACAGTCATCGCCGAACTTGAAAGACTTTGGCTTATCAGGGGAATGAATGCTGAAATACACGCGCTCAATGGCCATAATAAAAACCTTGAACTCACCAGGCTGATTAAAAGTAGAAACAAGAGTACGGAAACCCCAACCATCTTGATTCATGGTAACCAAATAACTAGCAATCCAACTATAATAAGCAGCGGTTTTAATAATTACTTTTGTTCTACATTTAACGCCACTGCTGAGGTTACCTCGCAAATCCTCCCTCTGCTTACTGATGACAAACTCTGCACAGTTGCCTTTGAACTCCGTGATATAAATCGACTTATTTCCTCTACTAAATTTTCATGGTATGCTGGGCATGACAATTTACCACCAACACTGATAAAAATGGTGGATCCGACATCCCTGTACTACTACTGCATCTTTTTTCTCTATTTATGAAAGCCGGTATCGTGCCATCACCATGTAAGAAGGCTGTAGTCATTCTTCTCTACAAGTCAGGCTCTGCGCATGAAATGAGAAATTACCGCCCAATAAGCCATACTTCTATACTCTCTAAAATGTCGGAGCGTCTCATAGTCCCAAACTGCTGGCTTCATGATGACGCGAAATCTTATCAACACCTCACAACACGGTTTCCTGCGTGCGCGATCCTGCATCACATGTCAGATCGACTTTCTAAATCTCCTGACTAGTGCGCTGGATGGCGGTTCATCAGTAATGGTCATCTACCTCGATGTGCACAAGGCATGTTATCGTGTCCCGCATAACTACCTCTTATCCAAACTAACTGCACATGGCATAGGCAACGCTCTGCTTTCATGGTTTGTTTTGTACCTCACAAATGGAACCCAGGTTGTTTAGATTCAACACGAAACAAATACGCCAAAGCCTATCACCAGTGGCCTGATACAAGGTAGTGTTCTAGGACCCTTCTTATTCCTACTATATAACGATATTTTTGACATCTTTTTCTCGGCAAACTTTTCCTATTTGCCGATAACATAAAAATTGGTTACACTTTTAATCCAGCTGAGGTCAGTATTGTGCTAAGCGAAATCCCGCGTGACTCATGGTGCTCAAAATGGATGATGACATTCTCTGCTGATAAATGCCACGTAGTATCCTACAGATGTGACATCATCCCAGGCTCGCTTACTATTGATGGTAAACCATTGTCTCACTGCCACACTATCCGTGACCTAGGGATCCACTAGTCAAACACCGTTAACTTTGCCGAACACGCCGCACATACTGAAGCTCGAGCCCGTCAGAACTTTTTGCTTCTGTTCGAAACATTCAACCTTAAAGAATAAATTCACACAATGTATAAAATAAAAACATGTGCATTGCTTGATTATTGCTCCATCATCTGCTGTAATTCTAGAGTGAATGATCGTATGGCATTGGAACGTGTACAACGATCATTTACTAAGCGTCTACTAGGCTGTTCCACCGCTCTTCGTTATATGGATTGTTGCATTGCCTTAAAACTTGATCCACTGTGGCTGCGAAGAATGAAAATTAATCTTTTTATCTTCTCGGATACACTTACCAAAAGTACACTCCTCACAGCAAACGTTACAACGAGTAAAATTGTCAATGTATCGCCCTCGAAATAATAACAACAAAGTAAAAGTGAAGAAATCACGAGAAAAACTGTCCGACAACTTTTTCCTTAACCGATACTCCATACTATGGAACAGACTTCCATCTGCGATATGTGAAATCCAGTCAGCGATAAGCTTCCGACACGCTATTCATTCGTTTCTGAACGTAGAAACAGCGGTTGGTTTACTGCGATCTATCATGACGTGAATCTCGTACGAAATTAATGCAAGATGGATATAGCCTCAATACCTGGGTACTTTTTCTTTCTGTTGTTGCCAGACCTTACTACCCTCCTCATGTCTATCAGTAGATAAAAGCTGTTTTCTAAGGAAAAGATATCCTGATTACCATGAAGTTTACGCTTATCAAAGCGGAAATATGTCCTAGAGCTCCCCCCTAGGAAACTGCTTCATATTCGTTCCGCAATACTAATCATTTTCTACTTTTTTCCGGAAGTCCTCCACTAAGGCACGTGCTGCAGTTCTCCGTGCTCCGCGAA